AGAAACTGTGTTGTGACTTGACAGCTCTGTTTATGGCCTGGTTCCTTCATGCTCCATGTTCACATGAGATGTGAACCCCACCCCCAGCCCTAAAGCATTATAAAAGGGAGGCCATGTCTTTGTTCTGTTGATTGGTCTGAGACTCCTCAGGAGGTTGCTTGGGGATTTGGTCCAGAGATGAAGGATGCTCTCTGAAGAGGCTCCTTTGCCCCACAACACTCTCATGCGTTCTCTCTCTCTCTTTCTCTTTCTCTCTCTCTCTCTCTCTCTCTCTCTCTCTCTCTCTCTCTCTCTCTACCCAGGTCCTCTGCAAGAATAGCCCGGGCTCTTAACGAGAGTCATCATCTCCAGCCCCTTCAGTGATTTTTTGTTTGTTTGTTTTTTAATATACTTTCTTTATTGAGGGTAACAAACAAAAACAAAAAGACCAAACGTAAAAACCCAGTGCTGGAAATACAAACTCAATTCAGATTCAAGCTCATCTAGACCCTGGTCACAATCCCTAGTAAGGTGCATGTGAGCACCAAGTCAGGGAAGGGGACGAGAGTCAACTGAGGAGGCCAAGAGGAGGGGTGGGAAGGGGAGCCCCCAGGTGCCCCAGTGTTCACCCCTACAGTGGCATCTCCATCTTCCTAATGACTGTGAAGATCTGCCAGGCCCTGTTCTCTTGGCCCCAACCTCACCCTGGCCAGGGCTTTGAAGGCCAGTCCCGGTTGGTTCTGCCCTCCCTTGCTCAGTCCTCACTTGCTCAGGCTTCTAGCCCCACTCTTCTCCTCCTCCACATTCTCTGTGATTAGTAGCAGGTTAGGTACTGTATAAGCCGCAGTGACCCTGGGGGCCAGGAGAGGAGGGGGTGGAGACGGGGCGAAGAGGAGAGAAGAGCTGTCCAAGGACCCCTCTCTTCATGGGGTCCCAAACCGTACAAGCAGCTCCACTTCTGCGTCCACACGCATCTGAGACAGTGCCCTGTAAGCCTAAGCAGCTATCCTGGATACCTGCTGCAAGTCAGAGAAGGGGATGGGCTCGCTGGCCAGCACTTGGTGGGGCTGGCTGGTGAGAGAGGGCGGCAACGGCAGGCTCTTCCAGTGGGTCAGTGCTGCTACGCACAGCCGAGCGGGCCCTGGACTGCCTTGCCCTGCGCATGCTCCACGCCCTGGGAGTCCGCAGCAGACACGTCGGATGATGTCGCTAGCCGTCTTGGCGAGGACGGAGCTGAAGGCAAGCTGCAGCAGCTGGGCTCCGCTCCGTTGAGGGCTTCGGTAGGGGTGCTGCTAGGGTCCAGCTGCACCTTCCGCTCCTCCGGGTCCTGGTCCGAGTCCTCGTTCTCGCTGCTGTAGCAGCACCCCACGGCCGGGCACCCCACGGCGGGGTCGGCCGGGCGCTCAGGCGGCGCCGAGGAGGGACGGCATCCGTCGGGAGCCCTTCCGGTCACATGACCCGCCTCGGCCTGCGGCGATGAGTTTCTCACAAAGCTCCTGCTGCCTTCCCGCGGGAACGAATTCACCGCCGGCTGGGTGCGTGGCTGCGAAGCACGGCCGCTCCGCACATTCCGTCTCTCCTGCACCTGCAGTTTCCTCCCTATGAAGACAAGAAGCAGGGACCCAAGAAATCTAGCCTCGGCCAGCCGAAGAACACACAGGAAAACCAAATCCGAGTTCAAGGTCTCCAAAGCACAGACACGAAGGATGAGCCTGCAATCCTGGAACTCGAGAGATGGAGGCTGGAGAATGGGAAGTGCGAAGTTATCCTGGGCTTCACAGAAAGACCCTGCATTTATAAAAGGGGGAGGGAAGGAGTGCTGGAGAGGTGGCTTGTGGTTAAGAGGACCCAGGTTCGGTTCCCAGCACCCATACGGAGGCTAACAACCATCTATAACTCCAGCTCCAGGAGATCCAATGCCTTCTTCTGCCCTCCACAGACACTGTACCTATATGGTGTACGTACATACATGCAGACAAAACACTCATACACATAAAATAAAAAAATTAAAAATTAAAGTAATATTATAAATAAATTTGTGCCAAAAGGAATTTTGGAATTAAGATGAAATGGACAATTTCCTTGGAAAATATCTAGCAACAAACTATCAAAAGAGAACAGAAAATATGAATGGTCTAGAACTGTTTTTTCAAAATTGTTTTAAACTTTTTTTTTTGCAAAGAAAACTCAAGGTTCAGGTGACTCGCTAATGAATTCTGAACTTTTAGCAAGAACTAAGGTCAATCTTCCTTCCTTCCTTTTGTTCATTCTTCATTTGCATTCCTTCCTTCCTATTTATTATTATTTTTACACTTCTCAGAATTGTACCCAGGGCCTCGTGCATGCTAAGCAAGGGTTCTTCCACTGAGCTACAACCTGCCCTTTTTTCCCTTTTTATTTTCCCTTTTATTTATTGAGATAGAGTCTCAATAAATTGCCCAGGCCAGCCTTAAACTTGAGAGACTCCTGCTTAAGCCTCCTGAGTTATAATGTCAGTCTTTTATTTTTCATTTTTATTTATTTTTATTTTATGTGTGAGTGGTTTTTCTGTCTTTTCTTTCTTTTTCTGTCTTTTCTTTCTTTTCTTTTCTTTTTTTTTTTTTTGAGACAGGTCCCCCTGAACTCAGAGATCCACCTGCCTCTGCTGCTGGAGTGCTGGGCCACCATGCCCGGCGTGTGTTTTGCATGCATATATGTAAAGGCACCATATGTGTGTAATGCTGGCAGAAGTCAAAAGAAGGCATCAGATCCCCTGACACTGGAAGGACATTGATGATAGAACATCTACCTAACACACCTACCTACATCTACCTGAGGCCCTGGGTTAGAAACCCAGTACAGAAAGAAAGAAAGAGAGAGAGAGAGAGACAGAGAGAGAGACAGAGAGAGAGGGAGGGGGAAGAAGGAAGGAGAAATTAGACGCCAGTATCTGCAAAATATTAACAAGTCAGTCAATAATAAATACAAAAATAGATCATAAGGAGATATTTTTCTAGAATAAAGGAAATAAGAGAGCTACAATAGAGAAAGAGAAAAATCACAGGCGCAGGACAATGAGTTTCTTTTAAAGCCTTTGATTAATACCCATTTATGACAAAAATTATCTTTTAAAATTTATTTCTTTGCATGTGTATGAGTGTTTGCCTGAATATATGTATGTGTACCACATGGGTGCAGTGCCTGCAGAGGTCAGAACAGGGCATTGGATCCCCTGGAACTGGAGTTACAGGCAGTTGTTAGCTGCCGTTTGGGTGTTAGGAGTCCTCTGCACAACGAGCCAGTTCCCCTAACCGATGAGCCATCTCTCCAGCCCCCACCTTTTTTTTTTTAACTTAAGTTTTGGGGCTAGAGAGATGGCTCAGTGGTTAAGAGCACTGGTGCTCTTGCAGAGGACCTACGATCGGCTCCCAGCACCCACATGGTGGCTAACAACCGTCCATAACTCCAGTTCCAGGGGATCTGACTGCTTCTGACTTCCAAGGGCATTGTACAACATGTGTGCACTTACCTACATACAGGCAATATACTCATACACATAAAAAATGAAAATAACAAATCTTTTTTAAAATATTTTATTTTTATTTTATGTGTATGAGGGTATTGCCTGCATGTAGGTAAGTACACACATGTCGTACAATGCCATGGAGGTTAGAACAGGGCTTCGGATCCCCTGGAACTGGAGTTACAGGCAGTTGTTAGCTGCCATGTGGGTGCTGGGATTCGAACCCGGGTCTCCTGCAAGAACAACCAGTGTGTTTAACCACTGAGCCATCTCTCCAGCCCAATAAAATATATCTTTAAAAAACATTGAAATTGCTGGGCGTGGTGGTGCATGCCTTTAATCCCAGCACTCGGGAGGCAGAGACAGGCAGCTCTCTGTGAGTTCAAGGCCAGCCTGGTCTACATAATGAGTTCCAGGACAGCTGGGGCTACAGGGAGACCCTCTCTCAAAAAGACCAAAAAGAAAAAAAAAAACATTGAAATTTAAATTTAAACCAGGTGTGGTGGCGCACACCTTTAATCCCAGCACATGGAAGGCAGAGGCAGGGGATCTCTATGAGTTCAAGGCCAGACTGGTCTACATATCAAGTTCCAGGACAGCTGGAGCTACAGAGAGACTGTCTCAAAAAAGAAAGAAAGAAAAAAAAAGACCCAGAAAATTAATTTAATTTTTTGAGATGGGGGGGTTCTCACTATGTTCTTAGTTG